GGGCAGGCCGATGCCACTCTCCCAGTGGTTCCTCAGGGGGGGCTCTCTCTGGCCTTGAGGGGTCTCGGTGTCTTTCCCAAAGGGGAATGTCCCATGTCGGTGGGACAAACTCCTTTCCCAGGGAAGGGGCTTTTCCTGCTTTAGGAGAATGTGTTTGGGTCCCGGAGCACGGGGCTGTGGGGCTGCAGAGGAGCTCGCCTGCGGCCGGTGTTTGATGGCTGGGGGCTGTCTGTAGTGTGTTAGAGGTTCCCTTGGCTCCTGGCGAGGCCGAGAGGGTGCTGGCCTGGGTGAGCCGAAGCAGCTGTGTGAGCCCTGCACTGCTTAAGGGGCAGCCCTGGGGGGAGCCCGGCTGTGGGGCCTCTGGGGGCAGCTCAGGCAGTGGCCACGCTCCCCGAGTGCCCCTGTGAGCCCTGGGTTTGCAGGGACGGAGCTGGTGGGGCCGTGATGCCCCAGTCCCCCCGCCCCACGGCACAGAGGGAGGGTGCCCGGTGCAGGAACCCCCTTTGCTGAGGGTGCTTGCGGGAAGATCTCTGGGTTTCCTGCTTTCTGGCTGGCAAAGGGCCACGCTCTGCCCGCTGGACACCATCCCCTGCCTGCTGCCAGGAACCAGGGGGGCTGGTGTTCCCCAGGGAGAGACAGGGGGTGCTGGCCACCTGAGGGGCTGAGCTGGAGGCCGGTGGTGCATCCGGACAGCCTGGGCAGGAGCAAATTGCTTACCCAGACCCTGCGGGGTCCTGGAGGGGGGGTCTGGCTGGTCCCTGTGCGCTCCCCCCACTCACCTCCAGGCAATGCCTTTGGTGTCCCAGGGCTCTGCTGTACCTGCAGGAGCTGGCGGAGGAGCTGACGTCTGTGTACCAGCCCCCGGCCCCCACCCAGGAGGCCCAGGAGCCAGAGCTCGAGCGTATCCAGAAGAAGCGTCAGAGCCGGAGGAGGAAGGAGGAGGAAACGGATAGCGATGATCCGGCACGAGACGCTGACTTTGTGCCCTCCAAGGAGGTGCTGCTGCAGGCGGAGGAGGAGGAGGGGAGCGACGCGCCGCTCAGCGAAGCGTCAGAGCCAGAGCTGGAGTCTCTCAGAGGACATGGTGGGAAGACGTCATCTGCAGGGGTAAGGGCAGGGGCTCTGCCGTGGCCACTCCTTGCCTTTGGCCCCCCATGAGCAACACAAAGTGTCTGAGCTGTTGTGTGGTGTCCCCACCTCCGGCTCTTTGGGGCAGGCTCGGTCAGGGGTGGCGTGTCAGCGCCTGGCAGCCCTGAATCCAGGCGTGAACTCTGGGTTTAACAGCTCCAGGTGAGGGTGGATGGGGACGGGGTCCTGGAGACTGTCCTGGAGTTCATGGAAGTCCCCAGCACGGGACTTTGTGTCTCGCCCAGCGTGACGTGCCCTGTGTGAGTGCTGCTGCCGAGGCCCGAGCAGAGCTCTCTGCTGGTAGGCTGCATCGGTGCCGTTTGGGACAGGCACGTCCCCCCCATGGGAATGTTGGGGCAGGGGGGGGCAGCCCGGGCCGGGTGCTCCTCTCAGTCTGCTCTTGTCCCCAGAGATCCAAGCCCCAGTGCCGAGGCCTCGCTCCCAACGGCTTCCACAACTCCATCATGGCCCCGGTGGAGAAGTGCTCCAGCCTCACCTGCAACCTGTGAGTGGGGGCACGGGGCTGCTGGGGGGGAGTGTGGGGTGGGCTGCAGGGACCCTGGGTACCATCGCTGTCACAGGCGTGGGCAGGACGGAGAACGGGGGGGTTCTGCTGTTTGATGGAGCCCCATGGCTGCGGGAGGTATGGGGGGTGACAGATGGGGCCGGGCCAGGCGGGGGGTGAGGGCAGGGGCTGAGACCCTGCGCCGTGGGGCTGTCACTGAGATCCATCATCTCCACCACAGGCGGGATCAGAAGTACTCGCAGTGGGAGTTCCCCGACTGGATCCCTTTGGTGCACAACTGGACGTGTCTCTCGGAAAGGTACCGCGGGGGCGGCGCAGGGAGGGGGGCACGTGTGGGTCCGGGCTGCGCCATGGGGCAGCTCCCGGCAGCACCGGGCCAAGGGTGAGCTGGGGAGGGGAAAGGGGGTGACCCCAGCCATGGGGGGTGAGGGCATGGTCAGTGCTGTACCCCCCGTCCCTCTGGTGGGAACAGGCCCCAGCAGGAAGGATGGGGCTTGCTTGGCACGGGCTTTGGGGGTCTCAGTGGATTTGGCCATGGAGTCCTAGTAGCCCTCAGGGTGGCCGGCGGCAGGGCGTGCAGGCTGGGTGGGTGCTGGGGCACGGTCCTGTGCCAGGGAGCAATTGGGTGAGGAGTTGGGGTGAGGAGATGTCTTCTCAACTTCTTCTGTCCCCCCCAGTGAAGCTGCCCCATACCTGCCAGCAGAGGAGAAGTCTCCCTTCTTCTCCATCCAGCGGGAGGGCATCGAAGACGATGGTGTCTTGTACAGGGTGAACAGGTCCGTGAGGGATGGCCGGGGTGGTGGGTGTCGTGCCTGGGACAGGCAGTCGCCCCCGGGGCTGCTGTTCCAGCAGGTCTGGGGGCTGGGTGGGCACCCCAGGGCAGCAGGAGTGTCCTGGGGTCCCACCGTCCCCCCGTGCCCTTACCCACGTCCCCGCTGCAGGTTCAGCTCCCTGCAGCCCCATGAGGAGCGCCGGGACATGTCTTTCTTCGTGGGGGGCCCCGTGTGGGCCATGGAGTGGTGCCCGTCCCCGGAGGGCTCGGCGGCCACTCAGTACGTGGCCGTCTACTGCCACGGCAGCATGGAGGAGACGCACAGCGTGGCCGGGCTCCACGGGGGCCCCGCGCTCCTGCAGCTCTGGGGCCTGGGGACGCTGCAGCCGGAGCCGGGGTGAGTGCCCAGCGGGGGCTGCTGGGGATGGGGGGCTCCGTGCCTCTTGTCCTTCCGTGGGTGGTGAGGCTCATCCTCTGGTTCATCCCGGAGCTGCCTCCTGACCCCCACGGGGGCCGGGCTGGTGACCAGCTTGGCTACTGGTGTGCCCTGGCACCGGCTGCCGCGTCCCTGACGGCTCGGCCCTGCCTGCAGCCCCCCCGAGGCCGCCGGGCTGGCCTACGCCATCGCCACCGACCACGGCTGCGTCTGGGACATGAAGTTCTGCCCCAGCGGGGGCTGGGAGCTGCCCACCGCCCCCAGGAAGGTGGGTGCTGCCCGCGGGGACCCCTCTGCTCCCCCTACCCCCTCCACCCCGGGGTTCCTGAGTGCGTGTCATCGTCCCACCCCCCGGGCTGATCCCCCGCTGTCGTTCCGCAGCCCCCGCAGATGAGCCGGCTGGGCCTGCTGGCCGTGGCCTTCTCGGACGGGAAGGTGCTGCTGTACGCGCTGCCGCACCCCGCCGCCCTGCGCCGCGCCAAGGACACACAGGTAAAAGGTAGGAAGAGCCGCCGAGCAGCCCTGGGGACCCTGCTGTGCCGGGGGAGGGTGTGGGGCAGGGGAGGGGAGCGGGGCTGGTGTTTGGTGTGGGAGGGTGCCAAGGCGCTCCCGCCCCCGAGGTTCAGTATCGGGGGACGCTGCCACAGCCCCAGCTCCCTGCAGGGGAGCTACCTCAACTGGGCAGACTGGGAGGATGCTCTGGGCAGCGCTGCTGTGACCGGAGAGGGACCGCAGGGTGGGCTGCGGCCGCCATAGCACCTTCCCGAGCCTTCCCCCACCTCCTGGCTGCCCGGAGCGGGTCCTCTCCAGGCAGAGCCGCTCACTCCAGCCCGGCTCGAGCTGTCAGTCGTAGCAGAGACGTGGGGCTCCCAGCTCCGGGGTTAATGGGGCTTGTAATAGCCTCATCTGCCGGGCGCCGAGCGAGATTGATGACCTGTGCGTGCGGCTCGTGGCCGCTCAGCCGTGGCCGGCAGCCTGCGGGTCCGGGGCTGACAATGGGAAATGGGTTCTCTGCACCCCAGCCTGGCCGCCAGCCCCCCCCCGCCACATCGCTGCCTTTCCCGCCCCCGTCTCGGCGTTCCGGCTCCGGGTGGTTTGTGCTGGTGCCGCAGCCCCCACGTGGGGATCTTGCGGCAGGCGCGGGTCCGTCCCCCCCCTGCATCGCCTGGGTCCCGTCACGTTGCCTCAGCCCAGCTGCCTCCCAGTCAGTCTGGGGGTGCTGGGTGGCACCGCAGGATCGGTGCCAGGCTGCGGCTCAGCGTGGCCGTGCCGGCAGCTCCCAGCTCGGCGTGGCCGGGCCGGCTTTCCCTGGGGCTCCGGGGACCCCCACCCGGTGTTTCCGTGCCCTGGCTGTCGCGGAGGTGCTGGAGAAGATGCATGGCTCCTGCATATCTCGGCACCGCCTCCGCCTGCGGCTGCCACGCTCCAGACTGCGGACGTGCTTGTCTGGTGCTCGCTGTGCCCCGCGCTGGGGGGCAGGGGGGTCCCTCTGGCCCAAGAGGTGGGGAATGGGGGTCCCCGCAGTGTTGTAGGTTGCTGGTGGGGGACATTCTCTGCGGACACAGCTGATGTGTGGGGTCCTGTGGGCACGGGGGGTCTCTGCACTGTCTGCCCTCCCCACACGGCTGCTCCTGCCCTCCCTCTGGCATCCACAGTCTGGGCTGTCCCCTGTGGACCACCGTGTCCCCCTGAGTCCGCTGAGGGCATCGTCCATCCAGGCGGGCAGCTGGTGGTGGTGGGGTGCAGCCTTTCAGGGTGCTCCTGGAGGTCCTGCCGGTGCCTGCCCTTGGCTCTGCTGCCCCGTGGGCTCTGTTTGCTGCTGCTGGGTCTGCTCGGCTGCGGCGCGGACGCTGCTCCGGCCGGTGGCAGGATGGACGGGGAGCCCTGGGCCAGGGCGGTGGGGAGCACCGAGCCGGGCTCAGGGCTGCTGAGCAGCTCCCAACGCTGGGGGCTTCTAGGAGAGCTGTGCCCACCCTCACCCTCCTCTGCTCTCTTCTAGATGGGTCCCTCCACAAGCACATTATCTGCAAGGTCAGTGTCCTCTTCCGCCGCAGTCCCCGGTCGGGGCTGGCACCCAGTGACCTCCCGGCTGGTGCAGGTGGGAGCGCTGGGGAGGGGGCAGGACCCCCGCAGAGCTCGCCGGCCGTGGGGCGCTGGGGTGGTGGAGCAGAGCCCCCCGTTTCTCGGGACGTGGATGTCACCGGCCTGGGGCCGTGGCCGATGCCTGTCCCTCGTCCTGCAGGTGCAGTGTGTGGCCACGCTCCAGGTGGGCTCCATCCAGGCAGGGAGTGCCTCCGAGTGCGGGCAGTGCTTCAGCCTCTCCTGGATGCCCTCCAAGCCCCACCATCACCTCGCCGCCGGGTTTTATGACGGTGAGTCCCCGAGCGGGGACTGGCACACGGAGCGTTGTGCTCCCTCAGCCTGGGGCAGGGCACGGGGGGCTGAGGATGAGATGTGGGGGGCAGCAAGTGGCAAGACGCCGTGCAGGAACCTCCCTGCCCATCCCTGGGATGGGGGCATGGCTTATCACGGGCCGGCCACAGCCAAACTCATGTGCCCATGGGCTCTGGGAACTCTGGCTTAGCCCACATCTGTCTGACTTGCCCGGGTGCAGGTTTGTGTCTGGCTTCAGGCTGCCAGGACTGCTGTGCCCGAGCCATCCTGGCCCCCTCTGAGCCCCGGCCACGACTCCATCCCTGGCTCAGCCTCTGCTGCAGCCCCTGCCCGTCCCCAGCCCCGTGGGTCCCACGCTGGCCCTGGCACAGCCGTGGGGCAGCTCCTGAGGGGTGTGGGTCTCGTCCCCAGGCACGGTGGCTCTCTGGAACCTGCTCACCAAGTCCCTGCTGCAGTGTGTGCACCAGCCCGACGGCTCCCTCAAGCTCTACCCGTTCCGGTGCTTTCTCGCCCACGACCACGCCGTCCGGAGCATCGAGTGGTGCAAGGCCGATAGGTGAGGGGGGGCAGAGCTGGGCGGGGGGCTGCCGGGGAGAGCGGGGTGGCAGATCATCGCTCCTGCGGATCAGGCTCCTTTGCCAGGGTGGGCTTAAGAAGCACCAGGTGCTGATGTCCCTCTGAGGCACTGAAAAGCTTGGGGTGGGCTTTCTGGGGCGAGGCAGGGGCTTGAGCCATGGCCTGTGCTGTGGGACCAGGGCCACCCACCTGGTCCCTGCAACGGGGACGGGGCACAGCCCGGCGCGGTGGTCTCAGCGCTGCCTTTCTCCTGGTTCTCAGCAACTTCCTGGTCACGGCAGGGAGCGACCGTAAGATCAAGTTCTGGGACCTGCGGCGGCTCTACGAGCCCATCAACAGCATCAAGCGGTTCCTCAGCACCGAGGTGGCCTGGCTGCTGCCCTACAACGGCGTCACCGTGGCCCAGGACAACTGCTACGCCTCGTGAGTACCAGGAACCACCCTGCTCCTGGGGTCTGGTCCCACCTCCTGGGTGTCCCGGGGTCCCCTCTGGTCTGTCTCTCCCTGGCAGCGTCTGGCTGTGCCGTGTGGGGTGCTGGGGGGGCGGGGGGATGCTGTTCCCCAGCACAGGGAAGGACGAGGCCCTTGGGCAGTGCAAGAAGTCTGGGGTCTTGGCATGTTCTCAACTTCCAGGAGCTGCCATGTGATGTGACATGCCACCAGAGCGAGGAGAGCCTCCCCTTCCATCCCCCGGGGTCTCTGAGGGCGTGGGCTGCTGCCTGGCTCTTGTGGAGCTCCCTCCTCATCCCTTCCCTCTCCCTTGCAGTTACGGTCTCTGTGGGATCCACTACATCGACGCCGGGTACTTGGGCTTCAAAGCTTATTTCGTGGCCCCTCGCAAGGGCACCGTGTGGGTAAGAGGCTGCTGGGGGGCAGTTCCCTCCTGGGGGGCCGTGTTGGAGGGGTGGGTGCCTGCCCCAAACCCGGTGCCAGCTGGTGGGGGTGACACCGCCCGGCCGTGTGAGTCCTTGGCTCTCGGGGACACCCTCGGAGCAGGGTGGTGGGGACCCTACCAGGACCCCCCACCCCACAGCCCTCCATTCCCACAGAGCATCTCCGGCTCGGACTGGCTGAACACGGTGGCCGCAGGGGACATCACGGGCGAGCTGCTGGCTGCGGTGCTGCCCGACCTGGCCATCAACCCCCTCAACGTCAAGCGTTCCTCCGACCGCAGATTTGTAAGAGCCCATCGTGCTCTCCGGGGATCACACGGGGGTGGGCATGGTGGGAGCTGAGCTCCTGAGCTACTGGAATGGTGTCCTGAGGTGGCCATGGGTATCTGCTGCCCCACACACGCATGTATCATGTGTGTGTCATGTGTTGTGCCCGTGTCGTCCCCTTCCCCCCCGGGCAGGGGCTGTGTGGTGGGCGAGGGCGATGGCAGCAGCCTCAGCCCTGGGGTTGGGACCTTCAAGGTCAGGCTCAAGCATGGGGCAGTCCTGCCCCTCTGTCCCCTGCCCCAGACCCACCGTGCTGCGTGGCAGGGCAGGACCCCAGGGGTCCCAGCCCCACTTAGCCCCTGGTGGTCCCCACGGAGGAGCCCCTGGCCCTGCCCTGAGCCCCGTCTCGCCCACAGCCGGTCTACAAAGCCGACCTGCTGCCGGGGGACGGGGAGACGGCGCTGCCCAAGACCAGGCGCTACGGCGAGATGGTGACCAAGAGCTACATCCGATTCCGGGACACGGACCTGGTAGGAGGGTGGGCGGTGGGGCTGGGTGGTCCCGACCACAGGTGGGACCCATGGGAGCAGGGCCAGGGTCTGAGGGGGGGTTGTGGCAGTGTCGGGGTGCCTCTGTGCAGCCCCTCGCCTCTGGTGGAGCCCAGGCTGGCCTCTGCGGTACCGTCCCCGCAGCCTGGGCTGGGGTCCCCCAGGCAGGGACCCCCGTTTGCTTGCTCACAGCGCTGGGTGTCCTGGCTGTGGGACCGTCTGGGGTGCTCAGCCCTGGAAAGGAGCCTGGGGGGGGTCACAGCCTGCCTGGGTCCCCCTACCCGCTGTGCCAGGCTGTGTTTGGAGGGGTTGGCATGGGGCGAGTCAGGGTCCCAGCTGCTGGAGAGGCACTGGGGTGGTGGGCTGGGGTCTGCAGCCGCCCTGCCCAGGGGATCCGGCTCCTGCTGCCCTTCACCATGGCCCGTTGGTGATCTGTGTCCCCTGGCCAAGTGGCACCTGCCTCTGGTGCCATCCTGGTGCTGTCCTGGTGCCCCAGGGCCACAATGGGCACAGCTCATGGTGGTGCTGCCGCCCCACAGCGCAGCTTCAAGAACTTCCCCAGCCGGGAGCCCATGCGCAGGATGCATGCACAGGAGGCCAAGGGGGACCTGAGCCTCGACCGCCTGCAGCTGGAGTCCCTGCACAAGGTGAGGGGGCTGCCCGTGCCCACCCCCGGGGTGCTGCCACCTCAGCCCCCTCCCTTCCTCCCTCCTGACCCCCTTCTCTCCCCCCCCCAGGTGCGCTTCAGCCCCAACCTGGACTCGCACGGCTGGCTGGTGTCGGGCGGGCAGGCGGGCATCGTGCGGGCACACTGCCTGGCCGGGCTGGCCACCGCCGTCAGCCACCGGCTACTCCCCGAGCGCCGTGCCCGCTTCAGCTCCCTCTTCAGGGACCAGCCCGGCAGCCCCAGCCCCAACGGGAGCCCCCCGTCGCCCACCGAGTAGTGCAGGGGCACCCCTCGTGCTGCCGCCACATGTGCTTGCCCCCGGCAGGAGCTTGGGCCAGGCTGCACTGGCCGGGGATCGGGGGGGGCTCTGTGCCCCCTCTCGGTGCTTCTTGCCCCCTGGGCCCCCACTCTGCAGGAGGGATGGCTGCTCCTGGCTGTCACCTGGGATGCTGGGGACACTTGTCCTCGTGCTCTGGGTCCAGAAGGATCCTTTTGCGCTGTTTGGTATGAGCTGGTGCAGGGAGGGTGCTGGGACGCTGCGTGTCCCTGGGTTGAGCTGTGGGGTCTTGGGGCCTGTCGCCGGGGGGAGCATCCCCCGGGCCCCCCACATGTGTGGGGCTGTGCTTGTTCTCGCCTCCTGCCCCCCGTCGCCGGCTGAGCCCCCCACGGAGGGGATGGACGGGGCTGGCAGAGGTGCCAGGAGCTCTGAAGTCGCTCACATTGAGCCCGTGTTCGACTGTGCAGTAAACGTGGTTTGTTTTGTAAAGGCTGGTTGTGGTGCTGGGGGGTTGTGTCAGTGCCCCCCTCTGCCCATCACGGGGGGCTGGAGCCGTGTCCCCCCTCCCTGCGTCCCTCCTGGCTCCCTGCGCCGCCGCCGCTGCTGCTGCTGCTGCTCTCCAACACGTTTATTGGTGGCTGCGGGCTCTGCCGGGGCCCGCTGGATTCCTTGCACAAAGAGACAGACGGACGGACGGACGGACACTCCACGGGTGCGACAGACATGGACTCACAGCAGTGGGAACGGGTGGGGAGCGAGGCCAGGGTAGCCGGCAGTGGGGGCTATGGCTGCCCTGTCCCCCTGCGCCCCACGGGAGCAGCAGCAGCCCCCCGGGACCCCCAGCAGCCCGGGGAGCCCATGGCCATCGGGGTGGCAGGGCAGCCCGAGGGGGCCCAGGAGCGCTGGGGGCCAAGGCTGGGTCTGGGGTCCTTGCCCCCACCCCAGGATATCCCCTCCCTCCCCTGGGCCCTTTAGTGGCTCCCTCCTGTCCCCTCTCCTGTGGGGACAACAGGGCTCCTCTATGGGGGTCTGCACGGTGGGGCAGGGCCCCCTCCTCCTCTGGGGCTGGTCCCAGCAGCCAGGGGCTGTGGCCGGTCCCCTCCCAGGAGTGGGGGTTCCCCGGGGAACCCCTGTGCTGCGGGGGCCAGACTGTGTGTCCCCCCGGGACCCCGCACGCTCGGGGGCACCATCCCACCCCGGGGCTCCGCAGCAGCAGGGTGGGTGCAGCACAGGGTCAGGGGCCCAAAGGCTGCACCCCCTGCTCCCGGGGGGCTGGGGTCTCAGGCACGGGGGTCCTGGCAGTGGGGACAGGCTGCCGTCTCCTCCCGGTACCGCTCCACCTGCACCGTGCAGGAGGCAAAGCCGAATTTGGTCTGCAGCTGCCTGGTGGCTTCCCCCAGCACCGTCTCGGGATCAGCGCTGGCCTCTGGGGGTGGCAGGACGGCGCGGATCAGCCCTGGCCGCTGCGTGTCCCCCCCCGTGCATGCTGTGCACCCCCCTCCTCGCTGCGTGCCGTGCACGGGGCACTCACCGACGGCCACGTGCACCGACACGGCGTGGTGGCTCAGCGTCAGGGCCCAGAGGTGCAGGTCGTGGGTGCCCTTCACCCCGCTCACCCCCAGCAACACCTCCTTCACCGCCTCGAACGCGACGCCCCGCGGTGCCCCTGACAGCAACGCCCAGTCTCAGGGGGGGCCACCCTGGACCCCACCACGGTCAGGGCCTGTGGCGGGAGCAGCCGGAGGCGGGGGCTTCCCCAGGCTGGGACCAGGGGACAACTCAGGGGGACAAGGGAAGGACAGATGGGTGGTCTGGGTCGGGAGTGAGAAGGAGTGAGCTGCTGCATAGGAAAGGGGCTGTGGCAGCTGCAGCCCCCAGGAGCTCCTGAGCCTCCCCCAGCCCCCTGTGCCCATGGTCCCCCCCTCCTCGCCTGCTGCAAACCTTCCATGAGGACTCTGAAGACGTCCTTGAGGATGGTGAAGGTGGAGCCGAGGACGAAGACCGAGAAGAAGAGGGTGCTGATGGGGTCTGCGATCTTGCACTGGGGCTGCAGAGAGCGGGGGCCGTGTGGGGCTGGGGGCGGCAGAGCTGGGCACCATGGTGTGGGGGTGCCAGAGCCCCGTGCCCACCCGCAGCACCCTGCGTGGGGCTGAGGGAGTCGTTCCCCTGGGTGGCAGAGGGGGGTCCGGCCCCGGGCACCTTGAAGTAGATGATGGTGGCAGCCACGAGGACGCCGACGCTCTGCAGGAGGTCACCCACCACGTGGATGAAGGCGGCGCGGACGCTGGTGCTGCCGGGCAGGGGGGCACGGCCGGGCAGGCACCCCCCGCTGCCCTCCAGCTGCTCGTAGCCCCCTGGGCCGTGGCCGTGGCCAGCGGGGGACTGGTGCAGGATGTAGGCCATGCTGGGGAGAGCAGGGGGGGCTCAGCGCTGCGCTGGGCAGGGGCCTCGATGGTGCCCCTGGACCCGCATGCGGGCAAAGGGGGCACGGACAGGGCCAGGAGGTGTGGGGCAGGGTCTGAGCGTGGGGCAGGGCTGGAGGCACAGCAGGGACGGGGCAGCGGCAGCTCTGCAGGGAGGCGTGTGGGGCCAGGGCACACGTGGGGCTGAGAGAGGGGTTTGGGCTTGTGTCAGGGCTGGGCAAGGGGGCAGGCCTGTGGGGGTGCTGCTTGTGGGGTGCTGGGGATGTGGAGCTGGGGGATGCATGTACACGGGCTGGGAGTGTACGGGGGACAGGGAACAGGGGGACACAGAGCCTGGGGACACGGGAGCTGGGGATAGAGGGACAGAAGGTGACTTGGGGATCTTGGGGCACCAGGGGCACACGTGGGGCAGGGGCACAGGAGGCCAGGACTTGGGGTGGGGGGCAATGGGGGGCCAGGGGTCGCAGGCACACACAGCCCTGGGGGGGACGTACACCAGGTTGACGCCGACGGCGCCGGCGGAGGTGGCCAGCATGGCTT